GGACATAATTTCAATGTGTGATGCTGTCCTGTCCCACTGGTTGTATTTATTCAAGTTCATTTTCATAGTGGAGTATTTCTAGAGCATATAAAACGATAAGGATTTAAATGTCCCAGGGTGTTGTTCCTCCTTTCTGAGCTGCTGTGACTCTGCTGATGTGCGGTTGCATGACATGTTTGGCACTTTGGATTTAAGCTGATACATACATGTGACAAGCATGCACACGGCTGCTCAGCATTGTATAGATGAAACATGGTTGTTCAATAAGTGGTGATGTCGTGTGTGTTGTAGGAGAGGCTCATGTCTCTGTAGGATGGAGGCAGATGGGCTCTGAACTGTGTGGCTGCCTCAAACAGAGAAGAGGAGCTACCTTGATTCATAGAGTCATTATGGTTGGAAAAGACAACTATGATCATCTCATCCAACCGTCAACCCATCACCACCATGCCTACTCAGCCATGTCACTAAGCTTGTGTTAGTCTTTTTCTGCCTTCTGCATCCTAGACTTTTTTGGTGGCAAGGGTGAATTAACTGAGACAGGGGAGGTTTAGGTTGGATATTAGGAGGAAGTTTTTTCACACAGAGAGTGGTGAGGCACTGGAACAGATTGCCCAAGGAGGCTGTGGATGCTCCATCCATGGAGGCATTCAAGGCCAGGCTGGATGTGGCTCTGGGCAGCCTGGGCTGCTGGTCGGTGACCTGCACATAGGAGGGGGGTTGAACCTAGATGAGCATTGTGGTCCTTTGCAACCCAGGCCATTCTATGATTCTGTGAAATTATTCTAGCCTGGAAATCCCTCCAGGTTTGAAAGCATGGTGTAGACATTGACCCACCTGTCCTGGTGCTCCAATGTTGCTGTGAGCAAAGTGATGGCATTTCACAAGGTCAAAGTGTCCTGTAAGTAGGAGCTGGATTTAAGTGTTTCTTATAGGACCACTCAACAGGAGGTGGAATGTCTTTGGAAGCTGGGGAATGAGATAGGAAATAGAAAGGCTTTGCCAAGATTCATTTTGGCTGGTGGGTGGCAAGGTGCTTGTAGGCAGCAGTTCTCCATCACACGTCGCCTTGAGGAGCTGGATTGTGACTGACAGCAGCAGAGGAGGCAGTCTGGGGAAGATATTTTTCTAGGATTTTCACTATAACTGCCTCGTAACATTCTTGAGCCCTTCCCTGCCCTTCACGGAGAAGCTTTATGGGATGGTTGGGATGCACCACGCTTGCACAGTGGCCATGTGAAAATCCACATGCTGGATTTTGTGAGCTGGTGCATTCATGAGAATAGAGACAATGAAAACTTTTTATACTTGGGTCCATCAGTGCATGACACCCACGTTCTTCCAGCCACAAGTCGATGAAGAGCTAGGAGTGGGCCAGGAAAAATAAAAGAATGGACTTATTCATTAGGGGATTTGTTCATTGCTATTTAAGTCCAAAGACTTTCCTAAATATATGCACCTAGTAAAATTTGAGATGCCCTGGCAGATATGTCTGGAGAGGCAGCTGGTGGCAAAGTACTATGTTTTACAGTGCCTAAAGTAACATTAGATACAAATTTTTAGACACCTGAATTGTACTCTGAGGATGAGATTCTGCTCACACGTTCTCATATCTAAGTTTATGTGCTTCCCTGAGAGCAGAGTTCCAGAGCTCCTGTTAGTGAGCAGAAATGTGATCAGCACAGCCGTGGGAACCTGAAGAGATGTTCAGCTGAGCCCGTGAAGGTGTCTGCTGCCCTTTAGGCTGCCCTGCCTGCCTTTGCTCCAGTGGATCGGCTGGGAGTTGAGAGATGTTTCTCAAATGTAGGCCGGATATCTGCCTTGGTGTGGTCAACCCTGGTTGGATGTTGTGATTTAGATGTCTAAACCAACGTGCCTAAACCGACATGCCTATTGCTACTTGAAGGTCTCAGGCCACCTGCTAGCTGCTGCTCCATTGGAATGTGGATTTCCAGCATGTATCGTGCCACACTTGCCAGCCCCATGTGCTGCCTTGGGTACCTGTTGGTATTCATGCCTTGAGTGCCAGCTCTCTCACTAAGCTTTGGAGAGGCGTCTCTTGACAAGAATAACCCTGTGTTTGAGTTCCCACCCTTCATTTCATGTCTGCGCCTTGTTCACCCAGCTCTAAATCCAGCCAAGGGCTGCGGGTACCAGCTGAGCCAAGTCTTCTTGGTTGCTTGCTTTCCCATCTCTACACAATGGCATTCATCTCTTTTTCCAGGTTGAGCAGATGCAACTTGGGTGCTGAGGGTGGCGAGAGGGTTGAGAACAGCCTGAACAGAAGAATGAGTGCAGTGTGTAGCCCTTCTGCAAGTATCTCAGCAATGTTGCCCATTTTGCTGATGGCTTGGGCGTGAAATCAGGTATAGGATCTTTGTTTCACATGAGCTCAGCTCTCACTTCTGGACAACAAGTGCAATGTGACTTTATGTGAGGGAAAACATGGGTGAGGAGTGCTGTTTTGTTGTGGTGTTTTTTTTCTTTCCTTCTTTTCTTGGTGTTGAAATGTGTTCTGTACGGTCTTGTCTAACATTGTGGGATTTCTTGCAGAGTTGGCTAGACGCTTTGGCACGCAAAGCGTGACAAGCCCCTAACCAAGCTGGCCCAGCTGAGTACTATAAGCAGTAACACATCTCTCTCTGTAACCCATCACTTGTTTGAATGCTACTGTGTATTATTGGATTGCATTTGAAAAGGTCTTGGCTGTCACAGGAATGAAGTGTGACCATTGGCCGGGCTTTGCTGAAGGACGTATTATGCATAGTGTCTTTCTAAAAATGTCTCTGTAATATCAGGATTGGGCCAGACCCCAGCTCTGAGTCCATGACCTATTGCACATTTGTACATGGTGCTCAGCAGGACTCATGTAGCCAAATAATTAAGAACCGCATGGTCAGGAAATGGATTGGAGCCAGTCCTCTGCTGTCATGAGGCCTTAATGTAGGCAGATGCCATAATGGGCTGAGGGGGAGATTTTTTTCTTCTTTAGAAACCATAGATGCCCCAGTGTAGGGCACTTCTCAGCAGTACCTCGACAGGAGGCAGCTCTATAAAACAGACTCTGTTCTAGGTGGCTATTTTAAGGGGTGGTTATCCTTCAGCCATTTAAAGTCAAAATGTGAACGATTTTGGTGGGAGGGAGATCTATAAATATCTGTTTATAATCTGTGGGCAAAATACAGGTTATCTGTGACAATCCTAATATACCTGCTCTCATGTTGCCCATGGGCTAGTCCTAGGAGTAAACCCTTCTCTGGGGAAGGTCAGGGAAAGCATTCATGGAATAACCGAAATTGGAAGGGACCCATAAGAATTGTTGAGTCCAACACCATCCAGATGCCACTTAGAATAAGATGGATATGCTGTTTATTGCCAACAAGTATCTTTATTGCAGCCTAATTTGAAAAGGGTACTTCTTTAGCATCATTTGGCATATGGACATATGGTCTTCTGTGGCATCTAGGAAGCTGGTACCATCTCTTTTTGAGCTGAGTAATGAATGAATAACTCCCTGCATTCACCTCTTCCCTTCCTGATACTGTGCTTACTTCCCATGCTGCTGCTTCTGTTGAAAATGACCTATTTCCCTCCTCTCCCCTCCACATACCATAGTTCCACAGGTTCTTCCTTTTGTATTTATGCTTTGTGCTAGTTCTGTGCAAGATGTCCCCATGCAAGGTCTGGGCATCTTCCTATATGTAGAATGACTTATGTTTTGGAAGCAAGTCACACATGCTTAGTTTGTGATATCTTGAACAAATTATTTTCCTCCTATAGAGATCTGTGAGATAAATCTTATTTGGATATATATATATATAAGTTTTTTTTTTTTTTTTTTAAGTACAAATATATTAAGAAAGAATTTGAAACTAAACCATGCCCTTAATAGTTGCAGACAAGAGGTATGAGCAGACAGAATTCAACGTAGCAGTACTGATGTGCAGGGTCCACTTCATTTTCCAGAGATTTAATACTTTTCTTTTCTCCACTGTGAGTTTGAAGACCTCAGCACTAAGTGCTTTAATTCTTTTATTTTATTTTATTATTACTTTTTTTTTTTTTTTTTTTAATGCTTGCTGTGGGGCAGCTTCTGTGTATACAGGATCGGGTAGGTAGTACAACCTTTAGTGCATGAGGTCTGTTCTCATAGCCAGGACTGAAAGTTTAACATCCCCTTACCTCTCTACTGGGTGTCTGCCCCATATTCTTTGCAGAAATTGTGCAGAATTGGAGGCTCTGCTCCCCCAGCCCTCCCTGAGGCCACCAGCCCTGTCATAGTCCCTGCTGGGACTATATGATGGGGACGCCTCACTGCAACCTAGGTCTTATGTGTTGCCCTTGAAACTGGCTGTGTGAGAAACCAAATTCCTCTTCCTAGCAGCTATGTGAAGATTTTCCTTGCTGATGAAGTGAACCGGGTGGGATGCTATGCCTTGCTGTTGCTCGTAACAGCTTAAGTGCATTTCCACTGAGCCTGTGATAGCTAATTCAGAGCTACATGGGTTTAAGGTGGTGATGTGTGTTGTGCACACAACGCACACACATTCTGGAGTGCCTTTGCCTCTCTGTGGGGATTCCAGCAGCACTCTCATCATTTTCTTGGTGAAAGCAACTCACCTTTGCTACAGTTTAACTCCTGGTCTTAACTCCTTGTTCCTATTAAAATGTCTAAATAGGCATTAAAATACATATTAATCCCTGACTGTGTAAGATAAATGTCAGTACTGAACAGTCTTTGAATGCTTTAGTATTAACTATCATTAACTAGCCATGTAAAGCAGTATTCTGGCAGGCGTCATTACTGGAAACTGAGACCCTTCTCAAGAGTGTAGAGTGTTTTCTGTCTTCTTCCAGCAGATGGTTTTTGTGTTGTCATCCTTCCTATGTTCCAGAAGTCTTCTAACAAACATGGTTTTTTTCTCTGTTTGTTTTTTTTTGCTCTATGCTTTGATTTCTCTCCCCCTTAACTGATTTTCTTTTGGGGATGTGTGTGTCTGCAGGTCATCAAAGCCGGTGTGGAGACAACCTGTAAGTGCCACGGTGTATCTGGGTCCTGCACTGTCCGAACGTGCTGGAGGCAGCTCTCTCCATTCCACGAAATAGGGAAGCAGCTGAAGCAGAAGTACGAGACGTCGCTCAAAGTGGGCAGCACTACCAACGAGGCCACGGGGGAAGGAGACATTTCCCCACCCAAGAAATCCATCCCCGGTCACAGTGATCAAATCCCAAGGACTACGGATCTTGTCTACATTGACGATTCCCCAAGCTTTTGTCTGATGAGCAGATACTCGCCCGGGACTTCGGGAAGGAAATGTTACAAAGACAAGAACTGTGACAGCATCTGCTGTGGGCGAGGGCACAATACGCAGAGCCGGGTGGTCACTCGGCCGTGCCAGTGCCAGGTCCGTTGGTGCTGCTACGTGGAATGCAAGCAATGCACCCAGAGAGAGGAGGTTTACACCTGTAAAGACTGACACATCTTCTGCCCGATGGCGACCCTCGGAGGCGGGCGATCACGATCTATGAGAACTACATATGGAGACAAACAGGGTTTGATTGACCTTCTGGGATCTGAAAGCTATGTTGAGACATAAGCACTTTGTAGGGTACAGGTGACCCAGCTGTGTTGCTGTTTTGTTTTTCTTTTGTTTTGTTTTGTTTTTTTCCTGTAGACTGAATTCTAATGAGGTCCAACCATGTGGAAATAAGTGCCTGTCACACTGGGGCTAGACACCAGTTGACCTTTACCTTCGTCGTCCATGCAGTTGGATGGATCATTTCTCCTTGGAACATCATGATTGTTTCATCAGTCCTCCATAAACTTCTGAGCTGATTAATTCTTTCTGGAATAATTAACCTATATTGCTTTATTCCTGAAGCTTACCCAGCAGCTTAGAGAGCTGGACAGATTAAAAAAAAAAAAAAAAAAAAGATCTTTCTGCTTTGAATGCAAAGATATGAAGACACGAGAAGTGGTCATTTTTTCCCTCTTCTAAAGCTGAGGAGAAGGAAGGGTGCAGTAAGCAAAAACAGCCCTTGTAGAGGTTGTTCCTCTAATGACACTTCTGCACATCCAGCAAACAAGGCTCTGACAAAGAGGCCCACTTGGATGGTAAGCTTTTTAATGACAGCTCCATATCCACGTGCTTTAATCACTAAATACAGTCGGGTCCACCATGTTGCAGATGGCAATATATCCAAGAAAGAGGTTGGGAAGACATTATGATACCAGATGTGCCTGTCCCCTTCAGTCCTTCAGTCGTCTTATTTTTTTTTCATACAGTTTCTTCAAATGCAGTTCCTTCAGCACTATCACTGTCTTAATTTTTTATTTAAAAAACAAACAAACAAACCACTAGATAATTTTATTTTCCCTTTGTGCATGGCATTTTTCTCTCCTCTTCCCACCTCTTAATGATTGAATTCACCCTGTGGAAATTGCTTCAGACATCTAAACTGGAACTTTTTAGTCTTATGTCAGCTGAATTTGGACATATATTTTTGAGGAGGACAAGAGAAATTCCAGTGCATCTTGGAACGCAGCAATGTCTTGCATTGTATAGCAGCTGTTTTGGACTGGATCGGACCTTTGGAGGATTTGACTTTTCTTTTACTAGGTCATCATTCCATTTACTCTTAACTACAGCAGTGGTACATGACACAAGCTGTATAACCCTATGACCTTAAGATTTGTTTTAACCACTAGATTGAGAACTGTATTTTAAAAATACAGTTGCTAAATGGTAACCAACTGTTGGATTTGGAACATCTTATCAACGCAAAGACAACCCAGCAAGTGGCCAGAGAAGCCAGAAGTCAACTGCAGAGGTAGATTGCTCTGATGCTGTGAAATAGATGACAATCTTCAGCAGTTCTTTTTCCCTTTGAAGAGGATATTTTCAATCCAGGACTTGATGCAATAATATCTGTTAGTCATATAAAAGTGCTTCTGGGATTGGAAGTGGCTGATGAATGCCTCAACAAAGCTTTCTGAGGAAACACTGGAGAGCGGAGGGCATTGTATTGTATTTTTATATCAGCTTTTGATTGTCCAGTAGTAGCAATTTCCACCCATTTTATACTGACCATTGATCTGGTTCTCAAAAGAGGAAAGCTGGTGGAGTTTTTCAAGTAGTAGTAGAGGTTGGCCAAGCAAAAAGAGAGCAGTTTTTCAAGATGGACCATTATTTTTCAAGGCATTGTGTTGTTTTCTTTTTTTTTTAAAAAAAAACAACTTTCTTTTTTCTTTTTTTTTTTTTTCTTTCCCCAAACAATAGCCACTAATATTTAAGCTGTTTATGTGCATCTACTGGGAGGAAAAAAGGTTATTTTTTTTTTCTTGGTAACAGATAACTGCAGCCCAACCTGACTTATTGGCATCAAATCTAGAGGTAGGGAACTCGGGAGGGACAGGAGGTTACTTTTAGTAGTGCTGTGGTCCTGCAAAGTAAAGCATACTGGCTCTTTTTTTGATATTTGTTTATTTGCTGTACAAATCTGGAGATTGTGGTAGTGCTGTAGAAGGAGTAATCCACACGAGGAGTGGTGCACACACAGTATTTGTCCCTTCCACCACGACAGATGCCTGGTGGAGCATCCGAGGAAGGTCTCACGGCTTCTGGGAGATGCACCTCTTTGAAAGTCACTCGCAAGCAGTTTATCTAATGGTTTAAAAAACAAACTGACTAGAAACCTATTACTCAGTGTCTGCATGCGAGTATGTATCTATGCTCATGCAGACACATAAATAAATATATGAAGATTGAACGAACATTTATTTATTTTAAAGCCCTTCAGAAGGACCTTCTTATGGTTTCAATGTGGTATTATGTTAAATTCTTTCTCCCTCTCTCTCGCACGCACACACACACATGTGCATATGTGCAAACTCTTCGTTTCGTTTCGTTTTTGTGTGTGTGTATGTGTGTGCTAGGATAGCTCTTCCCCTCCAAAGTAAGGCTGGATCCAAACCTGCCCAAAACATGAGGGTTTGTGGATCTGAATTACTATTTCTGGCCCAGTTCTTTTTTTTTAGATATTTGTTCTTTGTTAAATATTGGGCCACAACTTATGTGCATTATTATTATTATTATTAATTATTATTATTATTATTATTGTTGTATTTAAACCGTGGGCCTCATTTTCCTTCTTTTCACTGGTGTCTCTGTCTCCGTTGACCTCGCTGGAGTAACTCCACATTGCACTGGTGTGAGAGGAGAATGAGTCCCTAGATGCAGAAGAGAGGGCAGAGCTGGCATGGATATCATTGTAGAGAAAATACCTGTGTCTGTGGGGTAGGGTAGCATGGTGTGTTAGGGGGGAGAGAGATGGGTGGGCAATGAGCAGGCTGCCAAAGCTAGACTAGAAGAACGAGGCAAAGAGTGAATGAACTACTGAGTGAAAGAGCTCTTCTGTGTATTATAATTCACGCACTGAAGCCTGGATGCTTTCTGTAAGTATTTAAAAACAAAAACAAAAAAAAAAAAAACAAAAACACCCAAAAAAAAAACAAACAAATTAAAAAAAAAAAAAAACAAAAAAAAAAAAAAACCAAACACACAAAAACAAACAAATTGTATTTATGTTAATGTGGATATATTACTTGCCTGTTGTATATTGTAAATAGCAAGGTTTATTCTCCTGTGGTTAAAAAGAAATAATTATAAATGACTAAATAGTAGCGAGGCACATGTGTTAAATGTATAGGCAGTGTATAAAATGTACTAACACTCTGAAATCAGGAGAACTTGTCTTCTTGGCCTTTTGACCTAGGGTGGTAAAACATACGTGGGTTATTCCTCTTCTCCCCTCACCTTGTTGTGTGTGTTCCTTGGGTGGCATGGGGGGATGTTTAACTCCAGCATTTTCCGATGTTTGCCTTATCTTTGAAGAAAGAATTTGGGGAAAAAAGCTTGTTTTGGAAGAATCCCATGGAGCTCGAGTGGCATTGAGGCATGAGCAGGTAGAAGGAATATTGGTAAACCTGCTCAAAACTCTTTTGAGATCTTAGTCTGGGTTTTCTGCAGGAAACCCTGAAGGCCTCTGTCAGACACTGACTGCTTCCTTTGGGCTACAGCTGTTTCATATTGGATTTTTCCAGAGAGGCTAATTCTACCCCCTACACCATTGGATCTCCAGTGCAATTCAATGAAATTGCTCATATTTGCAAAACTACTATAGGAGTCGATTTGGGAATCTTTCATGATATCACTTCACAAAAACGAAACAAAACCACAAACGAGTGCAAAGCAACTTTTTCTCTTCTTCCCCCCTCTCTGCCCCCGAGAAGCAGATTTTTGCAGTAAATGTAACTGGAGAAGGATAGATGGGTGTAGGGGAGGTCTGTGGCTTCTGATCTCCTTTCACCTCCTATCCCCCAAAAGTGTCAAAGTGTTGGTTCTCCTGAGCTGATCCAGCAAGACTTGCAAGATCAGTTTTGGGGTGGGGGAGGGGAGGGGGGTGCAACCATTATTTATATAACTTTTTTATTATTTTTTTTTTTTTAAAGAGAAGTTAGCTGATGGAAGAATATTTTTATTGAATAGTGCATTTAGTTATGTCAGAAATATAAATATATATATATATATAATATTTTTGTAAACAAGGCAAACTGAAAATGTTTGCTGTTTTATATTAGAATTTTCTATTAAAAGAAATAAAAAAAAAAAAAACCCACACAAATAATTGTTGCACCCGTCATCTGTTTTTTAACAAGCTTCTATTCTTTTGACTGACTCATATATACTGGATGTGGAGATGTGCAAAACGAATCCTCAACGTTACATTCTCATTGTCTTCCAGCTCCCAAAAGACTCCATTTGGTGAAATGAGACATGTTTAAAGGGGATTTTTTTTTTTTTATGGACACTGAAAATGAATAATGGAGATGAACAGAATCGATGCTTGCAATTAAAATGAAAAAAAAAAAAACAACAAAAAACCCTACCCTGAAACCTCAAGCTTTTGATTTTTAGTTGTGCTTATTGGTCTTGGCATAGCTTTGGAGGGAGGAAATCCTATTTGCAGTAACTAAATATTTGCCATTGATCTCAGTTGGTCTGGGAAGAATGCATTCTGCAAGGGTAGCTGGAGAGAAAGCACCTGAGTGAGTGGGAAGTTCAAAAGGAGAGGACCAAATTCAAGGCTTGATCTAACAGAAGTGATTTGCATCAATTTGAATGTAAAACTGGGGAGCTGGAGCAGTTCAGGAAGCCTGTTGTTCAACTTTAGAAGCAAGGGATGAGCTGTGGAGCATCTGTTTTCCAGAGATGGTTTGGAGATCCAGGGAGTGGAGAAACAATTTCTGAGGATTATTCATGGTTGTCCAGCTCATCCACTTCTGCCTTCCTTCATCCCAGGTCTTGAATTTCTTCGTTAATCATTTTTCAGCTGCCCTACTTTAGCCAATGTATGAGAAGAAATTAGGTCGGTTTGGCCATAGTAGGGTTGGGTGAGAATCCAGATGAAGGGACAGATTTCTCAAGGGTACTTTCATGGTGTAGATGCTTCTTAAGGTAATTTTCTGGCAGATTATAGTGCCTGTGAAAAATTCCTTGGTTGCTGTTGCAGTAAAATTAGATCTATACTGTACTTGCTAAAACAGGTGCAGTGGAGCTCTGCGTTCCCATCTTTTTGCTGCTGCATGCACATCTGGTAGGCAGAGTCTGGCTTCCAGGGTCGGCTTGTTCCAGCCATTGTTTTTAAGCATGCTAACTAGGTGATGACTTTTGGAGAGCAGTATTTTCCTCCAAAATGAATAATGCATTTTATGACCATTGCTGTCTGCGTAACTCAGAGGAGGCTCAATAAGGCACAGGATCAGGGCTGTAAAAGTCTGGTCATTGCTAAAGCAATCTAGCTTAGTTCCGTAAATATTATTAATGATAACCTTTTCAATTCCATTGCTACTAAGGAAGGCTGGATTTGACCAAGCTTTTTACAGATTCCAGGGAAGAGAATGTGTCTAAACATTAGCTCTGGCATCATGATGGGTTTCCTGTAACTGTTTCTTTACAGTCGGTGAGTGAAGAGAGTGAAAGTGAAGACCATAAACGATCCATACACATGAAAATTCAGCAGGCTAGCAGGGGATATATCTGAACAAGACATCTTGTCATTTGCTGTTGGGTGTTTTCAGAGATGGACAAACCCCTGCTCATCAGCGTGTGACAAGGGGACCTGATGGAACACCCTCACCAAATTTTCCCATTCATCTTGGGCTTGCTCAGGACAGTCAGGAGAGGTGCTGACACACTTGGTGTAGTAGGATGTTTGCAACTGGACTGAAATCATCCCCCTTTACTGAAGGAAGTTGTTGAAATCTTGCCCTGGCTCTGTCTGCAGTCAGTGTAGGCAACTCAAGAAGGTGTTTTGGCCAATGTGAAGGTGCCAGTTTCTCCCAGCTGACAACAGGATAAACAGGGATAAAATGTAGAGATGTGGAGGTGAACTCAGGACTAAGCAAGGTCATGCTTGGAAAACCCTGCTAAGCTCCCCTTAGGCATGAACCCATTGAAGGAGCAATTGCCAAATCAGATGGGAATTTTGCCTTGTTCCACCTCTCCCCAGTCTCCAGGCCATTGAGACTTGAATGTAAAGTCTAGGATTTGTTTTGCACACTTGGGATGGAATTTCCTTTTAAAGGGAGGTGGGAATACTAACATGAAGGATTAGTATTTTTCTTTTTTTTTTTTTTTCCATTGTCTTATGGGAGCCTAAGTTATTTTTCTCTACCTCATATGTACAGCTTGTAGGTATAAATCTGATTCTGAGTGACTGTTAAGAATGTATTTAAGTTATTTAACATCTTTGTATAACAAAAAAGCCAGAACAAATGAAACAATAAATGTATTTTAAATTATACTTGAAGCGTGCTCCTCTTTCTTCACACCTGTTGAAAACAGTCTAATTTCTGTGGTTGTTGGAGCACTTGTGCCTCTTTCAGCATTATACCTAACCTCTTGTCTTGGAACCAACCCATATATGTGGCTAATGCAAGTCCTGAAATTCTGGAAAGCCTAGCAGAGAGTCAAGAGTGATGCCTCAGAGAGCAGGATGGTGTACATCCAGCATAAGGTCCAAGTATGCTCTGGAAAAAAATTAAATGGTCACTGTTAATTGGTTGAATAGTGAACATCCTCATCAATGTGAGCTCATTGTGGTCTGCCCCTCCTCAAAAGCCTTAGGGCTTTCAGGGGAAGGAATGCTGATAGTCTTTATGGGAGGAAGTGTTCTCCTTTTCTGTAAGGAAAACAGGTCATTTCCAAGCCCAGCCTTGGGGACGATCAACCTTGTCAAGCGAGCTCTGAGGTCTGTCCATCTTGAGTCTTTGATCTTGACCTCCAATCAAAGCCTCCAATCAAACTCGTGTTAAAATGGCCTATAAAAGGGCTATGGTGCTACTGAAGGTGCACTGGAAGACCTTGAAAACTCTAGATTGTGTCTCCAAAGTGCTTGACAAAGTCTGAGTTACCCGGTTCTGTTGTTCGTCCTGTGTGCACACAAATTCTTGCATTTATTTTACCTACCTTATACCAATCTCATTTTCCACAGTGGTGCAGCACTCACATACAGGCCTTTAACCCTACAAAATGGCTCCTCAATACTTTTACACTCAATGTTGTCTGACCTCAGAGATGATGATTTCTTCAATCTAGTACTTCACTTGTGTTGGCATACAATGCACTTTAATTCGCGCTTTCTCACAGCTTACTAGCTACAGCATCCACTGAAGGAGAGGTTAATTAAATCAGTGAGATAACCCTCTGTAACCAATGGGCCTTCCGTTTTTTTGTTCTGCATTGCTTTGCCTGTTTAAAGCTTCAGCTGAAAGCTTTCAATGCAGCAGCATTTGTAATAACCAAATCCTGCAGGTTGCCCAGAGAGCTGTGGATGTCCCATCCCTGGAGGTGCTCAAGGACAGGTTGGATGAGGCCTTGGGCATCCTGATTTGGTGGAGGTAACCAGCCCATGGCAGGGTGTTGGAACTGGGTGGGCTTTTAGGTTGCTTCCAAGCCAATCATTCTATGATTCTATGAAATGTGATGTTCCCCTTGTTGAAAAAGGCACTGTGAAATCTGAGTGTTTTTGCATGCACCACCATCCTAGAGCAGCTGACATCCCATAGGATGGACTGCAGAGACCTGAACAATGCTTTCTGCTTTAAACTTGATGCCTAATAAGAAGATTGATCTGCCTAAATGCAGATATTTACAGTATATCTGGAGGAATATGGGCTGGTCAACTTTGTGCCTCTTTTACTCAGTGAACAGTGTACCTTTGCAGCCAGTGGAGCTGGGAGCACAGTTCCTCTTTTCTCAGACACCACTGGCCACCTTACATTGATCCAACTCTGTCTCATCGATAGAGAGCTCAAACATCAACTCTCACACACTCTCAGGAGGAATGCCTCTACAGCACTTCCATCCATCACAAGGAATTCCATTCTCAGGAGCTCACAGATACCTGAGATCATCTGAGCTAATCTGGTACAGGTGAGT